GATGGTGTTCAATGTGGAGTCTGCACATGTGGAACTCACCTGGGTGGAACAAAGGAAAGCCGGATATATTTTCACGTAAAAGTGTGCACAAAAGAAAAGGGCATCAGTTTGTTATTGACACACGTGCACAAATTAAGTGCCGGGGCCCAGTCAAGCTGAATATAAGTTTAACACATTGACTAACCTATGACTCATCATCATAGATGGTTTTAGATGTACATTTTCTAATGGGGGATTCATGCGTGGTTTGTTTAATTGGGTGTTTCATGTTTTGCAAAAAATGCAACATGAGCAATATATTATTCATCCCATCATGAATGCACTTGACATATAAAAGAAAATAATATAATAATAGTACAAGATAACATGTATTTCCCTCCTGGTCTCTCTTGACTTAATCTAACTAAAGTATACCACACACATTGCAAAGATTCAGGGTTACAAAAGTTGTAGCTGTTTTTTGAGAAAATGAACACACCAATAGCAGCTGCTTAGGGAGATCTAAAAATAATAGGTGCAGTATTTTTTGTCCTTTTACCCTGACATCAGTGTCCCTTTTTAATCTCCTTAACTCAGATTAAAGAGTTTTCAGAAATAAAACAGCAGGGATTTCTGATTCTGGAAAAAAAGATTTGAAAAAAAGAAGGTATTTTTGGTTTATCTGCCTGTCTGTTTATTATAAGAAAAGTAAAAAACTTTTTTTTCATAGCTTAACCATATTCTCTTGTTAGTTATACTGTGTATCACTTTTTAAAATGTAAATGTTGCTTCCATTTAACACATCCTCTCTCCGATTTTTATTATTTTAATTATTTAGGGTGGTGAGCATCTGTAATCCTGTGTATCCCCATGGAGYCTTAATGACACATTAGGCTCTTAAGGCAATGCAGTGACTAATGTTGTCATGTCTTCTACTTTAGCAAAGAAAAGCTGTGCATGGCCATCAAAGTGTGAGTGATAGTTTGAATGTGTAGCACATAATGGAAGGTAACTGAATGCCACCTCCATTTCCTCTCCTCCCTTTGCGTCAATCAACAACTGGCTAAAAGCCTTCATCGGTATATGCCAGAATTACACTTGCAAATATACAGTATTAGCACCTCATCTAAAGAGTCTATTTAGGATTGTGTGGCACTTTCTATATAGGCCTGAATCTCAAAAAAAAAAAAAAAAGAACACTGAAGTTCTGCTTGCCAGTTTTCTCCTTTTGAGTCTGGTGCATTGCTTCACAGCAGATGACTGCATTGTGTCGTTGGTATTAGAAAAGAGAATGACTAACTATAGCGTTAGATAGGAGACAAATGAGTCATTGTAACTGCAATGTTTAGCATTCATATGAACAGAAATAATATATGAGTTCTGGTAAAGTCTGAGTCACACTACAAGATTTTAAAGCAGTCGGCCGATTTTCAAAGACTGAGAGAGCCCACACGTGAAGATAAAAAAATCATGGATATACCAGGTTTGGTCCTACAGTGTGTGGTGTACAGCCACACGGCAAAAGACAACACACCACACACAAACAGATATTTCATTCATGAACATTCAGATGGCAGATATTAAATCACGCAAGACTTCCAGAAATCTCGCGAGAATTCAGATGTCGGAGGAAAAATCACACGTTACCTCCAGAGAGACGTGACTTCATAGTAAATAAACATTTGCAACAAGGCAGAAACAATGTTGATCGTTTGTGGACTATTTTTACCAGAGGAAAAACAATTCTATAGGACTTTTAACATCCAGCAGACTTTCTGGTGAGTCATAACAGTTTTATTGTCTTCTGTATTTTGGAATCCCCTCTGTGTTTACATCACCTCGCTTTCTGATTGGCTACACATCTCATTCACAGGTTGAGAGCTCGGGTGAACACTACACACACTGTGATATCGGGCCAAAAAGATCAAACATGTTGAATATCCCCAATTTGAGGTCAGGGCGGTCCCGACGTCCTTCCGAGCCGACTAGATCTCTCTTAACTCACCACCCATGGCGGAAGTATCTGTTACGATTACCTTTAGAGTCATCACGGTAATCTGGACTTCCTTAAGATTGTCGGAAGGACAAATATCGGCATGATTTGCTTGTAGTGTGACGCTGCTTTTGACAGCAATTTATCACAGAAAAAAAAAAAAGAGCCAAATCCATTTGTTTGTATCTTTTTAAAAATCAGTGATTTTTATATCAAGGACCTTGTATTAGCCACAGCATGTRCCAAGACCCAAACACACGTTAGGCTAAAAGTATGACAACTTGAAAATAAATATGGTTGTTGGTTCTCAAAATGACTTACTACTGAAGTGATTTGTGAAGCCWATAGAGGGGAAAAAAACATAGGAGAGCCAATTTAATTTAGTTTCTGAAAATTTGCTTATTCTCTTCTATAGATGCAATGCAAATTATTAAAGATTGTGGTGCTKGAAATCAAGCTATTTGAGCAAGAAAAAAGTTGTTAGTGTTAGCAARCAATTGGTCTGACTTCACTGTGGTAACCCTCTCTTTGATATCTTTTTTCTTTTTTTTTAATGGCAGGCATATTCATAAGAGAGCCTTTATTTTACAAGCTGATAGTGACTACAGCATTGAACATAACAGTGTTAACCATGAACTGAGTTTACCATGAGGTGTCTGTTTGATGTGGACTCATTTAGTTATCTGTGCCACATAGATRCAAGGCCTTCTGTTCAACTCAGTTACAAAAAGGGCAGCAAAATAGCGCAGTAACACAGAGATAAGTAACAATGTTTGGTGTCTCATTAAACAGGAAACAGACTAAATGGCTCTTTTACTGATGCTCTGACTGGTCAGTGTTTCAGAAAATCCACATTTGAGGTGGATTTGGAGTGAATGGTAAAGTGTCACCGGGTGTATGTTTCTCTGCAACAGCTGATAAGCGTTTTGGTTGCACGCCTTCATGTTATTCGAGGGAGAACAGTCTGATTGTTGCCTGGCAACAAAACAAATAATTGTATGCAATGCATATGCTGGTATGGCTACAGCAGAGGATGACTTTGTCTTACAATCTGTCGATCACTCTACTAACATTTTTTATTTAACTCTAATAGAGAAATTGCGAATATGTTCTGGTTTTGATTGCTCATATTTTGTTTTTACTACGTTTACTTCCAGTGTGAATCAGGCCCTTCTGAAGCTGAGCAGATTTCAGAAGAAGGATGAGCCTCATGTTTTCATTTGTCAGATGTCAAAAAAGAGTGCCTAGCCATTAACATGAGTAATTATTTATAGGCGTACAGTTTGAAGTGTGGTGGCATTGGACTCGATGCAGCAGCTTATTGAGAGGACCTGAGGGAGAGTTACCAATGGAGCAGTAAACATAGCTCATTCTTCACATATAAGGAGCGTGCTCTGTAACTGTGTCCTCATCCCACTTTGACTCTAACATTAAAATGACTGCAATATATCTGTCAGGTTTGTCAAATTGAGTGGATTTTGAATATGAAGAGAGGTTTTGCTCCTAATGTAATTTTGTTGTGCTCTGTACAATGACAATAAAGGCATCATCATCTGAAGTTGTGAGGCAGTGCTGTGTCATGTGTTTAATGCATTTAAATCAGGACAATTATATTAGCCTGGCCCTTGCCTTCYTACGCAGTTCCACTCAATTCTAGTTTCCCTTCACTGCTCTGTCTGGGATTTCTCCCATTGACAAGGATTTCGCTGGCAGATTTTTAGCCGGACCAATCAGAGAACAGAACGTTGACTTTCTGCGCAATGTCTGCTTGTAGTTTATTTTACCTGGACCAATCAGCAAACAGAAGGAGGAGTTTTGAACGACGTCAACTTTCTGCGCAGTGTCTGCTCGTTTAGCAATGGCATTGGAGGGAGTGAATGAAGCCAATCTGTGTTGATAAGGCTTCCAAATTCAATTAAATTTGTCTGACAAAGCAGCAGCTCTCATTTACAGTCGTCTTGTTCGGCTCGGTACTTCTCTCCTCTCAGTAGGCTTGTTTACAGCGCACACAGTTTCCGGTTTGCTTCTTAGCTTAGCCTCCTTCATAGCGACACACACACACTTCAGCAGAGGCCACACCTCCAGCAAGAATTGCTTCTCTATGCAGCGAGTCCAGACCCTCATTTGAAGCAAAGTGAAGGACAGGGTCTGGTTTTTACCTGGCTACAATTATACACCTAACTGTTGTTCGTTTCCACAGAACTTAATGTCTACTACAACACTATGGATAAAGTTGTATGCTTCCTATAACTTATTTATAATAGTGAAATAACTATTTTAGAAGTTTGTTAGAGTTAAACACTGAACATGTTCCAGAAAATGATTTCATTTTTTGACCTCCAGGTCAAAAGAAAGCTAGTGAAAGAGGGAATCTATTAAGATTCTGTTCATTTTTTCTCTGATGAAAAACAGCAAGGCTTGTAACTAATAAAGAGTGTTTCTGAAAGCAGAGTCACCTTCTGGTCCAGAGTTTTCAGTAAACGTGACTGAAAGTATTTTTCTGTGATATAGAGACAAGAATTTGTCATAATATTTCCTACCAGTAACAAGCAGTGATTCCTGCTGTTTTGGTTGCCATGCTTGTTAAYTGGAAAGGAGGGAAGCTGGAACTGTAAGAAGCTGTGTCGCTTGCCCAGCAAAACTCCCCACTGTCGAGTGAAAAAAAAGAGCAGCTTGTAACTCTGTGTGTATCAGGTGAACCATGTGGTAGCCGGTGCCATGCTAAAGCCATCAGTAGGAGCTGGCATTGACAGGAAGTGCAGCACAAAGGGGGACTGGAGACAACTAAATTGATACTTGCCAAATTGGCTAGTTGCTAGGTAACATTGCTAACAATTTCAGGCAGATATTCTCTGACCAAGGAATTGATGTCAGAATAAATTCATAAGAAAATGTTTTTCAAATAATTATATTTGAACTGTATATATTCACATATTTATAAAAAAAATGTATATGCCATACTGTGTGATCAGTAGATTGTGTATTAAATTAATTAATGATTCTCTGATTTTATTTATTTATTTTACAGACTGGCAGAAAAGAAAAAGGTGACCCACTGAACTCAGCCATCGACAAAATGACCAAAAAGACCAGGGACCTGCGTAGACAGGTGAGTTCAAGGTTTTGTGGCTCTACTCACCTTCCTATCCTCTTCTCTACACAGCTTTTTGAATTTTGACACAACTTCATGAGAAAAAGGAAAAAAAAATGCTGATAATTTGTCTCATCTTCATTTTCACAACCTAATCCATTTTATTATTCTCAAAACTTTGAAGCCACTCTGGGAAATTTCAAAGACTAAACTCTCCAGTAAGAAAAAGAAAGAAAGAAAAAAAGATGATTTATGCTGTAATATCTGAGATCAGCACTCATAGATAACATTGATGTATTTCTCATGTTCACTAAAGACAAGATTAATACTTGCCACAGCTAGATTTGTTCTAATATGACACAAAAAAAGCTTAAGTTGACAATACAAGAACACCTAAAGTGCATACTTAGCTATCTTTTGATCTTTTAAGAAAGCTACAGAGGTGCACTTCTCCCTTTTTTGTTAAAAGTCAAAATCTAATGGCTGATRTTACACATCTGATGGGACAAACTGCAGTGCATACGAAGATGCAGTTTTAGTGCCAGAATTTGGTTTTCTTGCAAAGCACAGCAGTTTATTCTCTTTCTTACTTGYAGGAGTTTAGTTTTTGTTTATTTTGGGAGGGATGCACACTAACTGCGCAGAGTGGTTTTGTCCTTTTTGACCTCTGAAGACCACAATATTGTTCTAGATGGGAAACTATGAGTTTCTCTCCTGTTGGGGTATTTGGTGCAGGCTGTCTTGACAGGCTGGCAGGCGGTATTCACTCTGACGGGATGTTCTATTGACTCGGGGCTTGGCTTGACAGAATGGGCGGTGTGTTTAAGCTTTCAGTTAAGATGGGAGGGCAAACCCACAGCGCACATGCAGACATTACACTGAGCCGTGACACTGTAATTATGTCAACGAGACACGTGTTGAGTTTAGCGAGTCAGTGGCAACGTGTAGAGAAGCAAGCCCTTCCTGAGGGGAGGAGCACTGTCTCACACTTGAGGGTTTCCGTCTCCAGGATCTCCACAGTGAAAAGGATAAATCACAAAGCAGATGAGCACAAATGACAGCGTTTGTGAAATGGGAGCAGGTAATACCGAACAAGACTCGTGACAACACCACCAGAGACGCGCTGTGTTGTTTCCTGCTTCATGCTGATGTGTACACACATGAGGCAACGCTAAGCTGTCTGTTATCCAGGACAAATTCAGCAGTTGTCAAGCATACTGTTCGTTCACGCCTCCATTCTGTTTTCTTTGAAACCGATAAATCTTTTTTTTTTTTTTTTTTTTTTTTTTGCTGCTCCCTCATGTCTGGGAGAAAATATATATGGCAGCATTTATATCACAAAACAAACTGGTGAGGGAATTTTTGAACTCCAACATGACAAAGAAGAATACTTGCAGGTGTTAAAGCAAACATTGAGCCAATTCTTTTCACTTGCAGCCTTTTTATTCCTGCATGCATCAACAATAAMAGCAAAGGCATTCCTGAGTTAAAATAAACACTAACCTATCAGTRTCCTCTTACATTCTTTTGCTTGCTAGTAAGATACAAAATTAAAGTAAACTTCTAAGCCTTTTTTTTTTTAGAATTATACAACAGCCTGTCTATGTAGGACACTGCACTACATTTTCACATTGGTTTACAAAAACACATAGCGAAATCATTTCAACCATGCAATCTCACCTGCATCTATGAAATTTTATAACCTAACAAGATTATTTCAGTTTGAAAAGTGTTTCTAGGACTTCCGCTCCATAATTCAGTGCCCCTTATGCTTCACCAGTCTTTTTAACAGCAGGTGACCCTCTGCCTTCCTGCTGTACATCTGGTACTGGCTGCAGCGGGGCTTCTTTCATGGTCACCGTCTGGTCAAGGATCGTTCAACAACTCATCAGCTATTTCAAAGTTAAAATAAATGCAGCTGCGATAAATGAAATGTTACGTTTTAAAAAGCAACGCCAAAACATTGTTCACAGATACATCCATGTGGTTTCTACAATTCTAAAAAAAGATGCAATCATGACAAAACAAAAGCAAATGCGAACTGGAAGCACTTTAAAAATGTATGAGCACAGTGATAGTTTAAGTGTGAAAGTGCAGTCACATTTATTGTCAACAGTTGCCCTCCATTTATTTTTAATGCTGTTTTTAAACAACATGCAACACAAGGCACACACACACGCACACATATGCTTGCCTCAGAGTTTTTGTGAGGACACATTATGTCTAGCCCTTTGACCTTATTTCAATCATTACCAGATGCTAACTCACTCTGACCCTTAATTTTACCTTTAACCTTTAAACTACATTTTTAAATTAAATTAAATTAAATTAAATTAAATTAAAACAAATCACTGAGGAGTCATTATAACCATAAATCAGAACCCTCTACACATTAGCATCATCTGTAATATGTACAGTTAAAATTTAGTATGCACAAAATACTACAGCAAACATTATGTTTTTTTTTATGTACAAAGAAGTATCATCTACTCATTGTATTGGGATTAAAATCCGTACATTAGCAACAGAAAACGTGGTTACTTTAGCAAAAAAATAGGGAAATATTTACTTTTTTTTCATACTTTTAGTAGAGCACAGCTATTTTTTAATGTTTGCACCTTGAAGCTTTTACACACAAAAACATTGTTTCAATAGAAAATTAAAAAGAGACAAAATTCATATTCAAACCAGTGTGCACCATAAAATAAAACATTGTTTCTTAATTAATTTCCCATGTAGAATATTGTAAAAAAAATGTTTTAGACAGTTGATCCAATAACACTATGGAGGTCTGACTGGCCCTGAATAATTCAGCAGCAGGATATAAACCTCAAAGATAAARCTGCATTCTTGAAGAACTGCTGTGATGACATAAAGTGATAAAAGCAACCAAAATCAGACAAATCCACAAAAGGACTGAAAGTACTTTAAGATGTTTGGACCAAGACAGCCCACCTGCCAAGAAACATAGATTAAAACAAAAGCTTCTCCCACTATTCCTTCTTGCCGCCAAGTTAATTGATGACTTCAAATACCCCCTTACAAAACTTACAATTCACTCCTAAACAGAGCACTGTGCAGCCAAGCTCAGAGGGGACAGAACTTTTGCAGTRACAGACCACCAGACTCTGAAACGACTTGACCCTTTGGTGCAGCAGAATCAATACTGTCTTTTAAATTCTGCCTAAAACTATTGTTTCTTCAAGTTTATTGTGAGTTCTATCAGCTCATGTATATTCTGTGTTGGATTTGTTTGTTTTTTAGCCTTTTTAATTATATTAGTTAAATCTTTTTTGTGTGTAATGAGGTTTCTGAAATATTTTAATCATTATGGCCATTCGTAATGTTTTAAAATGCGTTATGCGAATAAAATTGACATGACGAACACTTGAGTTTTTATAATAGTGACACAGTTTTGTTTTGCATGACGTACATCTCAACTGAAGTTTAATTATTTTGTGTAACTTTTTCTAGAGTGTTCAGATACTCTTGTCRAGCGTTATTGAGATTTTCCTGAACAGTGGCTTTCAATTTGCCACTCTACTATAAAGCGATTTCTGAATAGATTGCACAGCTCATTAGTAATATACAATATAAAGGAAAGCAAGTATTTACAAGTCTGAATAATTGTAGATAATATGTTTTTTTCTAACTGTAACCAAGACCTTTTATTTGACCTAAAAACATTTGCAACACTTAGCTATATCTTACTTAAACAGATGAGCAGCAAAGAAAGTTCATAAAAAAAACTACAGACTTAAAAAAACATGTATATTGTGGTTATACAAGATTTTTTCAGAGGATCAAGTTTGWATTATCCAATATTTATAAAGATGTTTTAAAACCACATATGTCATTTTSATGGGATTTTATTTCATTTTTTTCCTGACTGAAGTTAACAATAAATATTTAAGGTTATGAACCGCATACACCAAGCTTACTGAATTTACTAAAGTTAAGCTGATAAAAGAACACCTCACTGAAATGTCAGTGTCCCTACAATTAGAGTTATATGTTTCATAACTAATATTTTAATTGTTTAGAAAAGGCATTTCCTCCTGAGACAAAAATATAACCCCCATTAACACATTTCTGTGTATTCAAAAATTAATATAACATCAACTGTGCTTTGACTTTAAGCTGTCTTAACATATTAGAAAAAWTAAATGTCAAAGCAAGCTAATGAGTAAAACTAGCATCTTTTAACACATTAATTAGCCCTTCAACTGAAGCTTGAAAATTGGCAATCCAAACTGGCAGTTGTTTTGGACAGTTTTACATCTTAGCTGATTTATGAACATAACRAGCCTGAATAGTTTTACCTTATTAGATTTTGGCCACATTTACTTGATTTTTCATGACTGTGGTCAAATTCAAAAACATTTCTAGGTTGCAAAAATATTAAATTGCAGTCTTTTCTCTGTGTAATTCTCCTGCATTTTTAAAATAATCTGTATTTGTGTAGATGTTTTTTTTTTTTTTTGTCTGTCAGACCAGAGCTTCTGTGTGTGTCTCAAAATGCAGCTCTTGTGATAACCGCAATATCTTYGTGATTATTTCTAGAAGCAAGTTGTCGCACAAAATTTTCGAACACTTTCAAAATTCAAAGGACTGCATGCTGTTGCAACACAAAAAGTTGAGAACCCCGTGCAAGCCACAAGACTTTCTGGAGACATTAAGGAGACGCCCACATGAAGATACYGATTGAATACAAAAATGCTCACAGCCCATTGAGATGCCACTTCAATACAACAGACGAATGACCRCTGTTTTGGCCACCCAATGCACATGCTTAATTTTATAGCAATCTCAAATCAAAAGCTTGAGATGACTGGCTAAATGTTAAACTTGAGGCTTACAAGCAGTTTTTCACAGAACAATGAGGGATTTTACCATTACAAAAGCAATCACATTTAAAGGTCACTATTTCAGAAGCATACAATATGCCTCTGTTTATTATGTTTTGAAAACCACACAGATGTTGCTGAAAAGATTGGCACTATTGACTTCTAGCAAAC